TGATTCCTGATCTCGGTTATATTTTTGTTTTTTGCTAAGTGTGCACATACTTTTGAAACAGAGAAAAAATTTTCCTTTAATAAAAAATTATGTTATCAGCTGCGATGTTTTCTCAGAGAAAGTGTTCGAAGGTTATAGCACACAGGAATCCAACGGTAAAGGTCACAGGACACAGAAAACAATGGTATCCCCAAAAAAACAAAATGTTGGGTGTGCACATACTTTTGAAACACACTGTAGTTTCTCTACAAGAGCTCCCCTGATTTTTTTTTGCGAACTCACCGTCAACTGTCATTGAGAGTAGTGCGTCGCATAATCCTCTCTTTTAGCCTTCTTTAATAACTTTCATTAAAACATCGTTAAGCCTTCTCCTGGGTCAAAATAAGATATATAGCACCACAGTAGAGAACTGGGAGCGACTTCTACCCAATTCTCTTTGGAGGACAGTCATTAAAACACGAAACTTCTTCGGCAAATATTGTTGCCAACATGTTATGTAGCAGAAATAAGGCAAATTGGTCGCACCTCTCGAAACTTTCAAGAAATTTGAACACTGTGATTCCTCAGTTATGAAACTTTGCGGGAGGTTGAACTCTTTTCAGTACCCTCAATGTCGGTCTCTCAAAAGCCATCATGAAACTCCTAGAAGTTCAGGATGTCACCGACTTCGCCACACAAGAGAAATCTAATCAGCTTATGGAGGAGCTCAGAGCAGCTTTAGCTGATCGTGCCACTGAGTTCGCTGCGCGCGAGCGTCGAGCTCTCGCTGCCTTCTATGGTGTTTCAGACGAAGAACTGGGAGAAATCGAGAAGAAGAACGAGAAAAACGAATCTGCTGCCCCTCCAGAGGTATGTGGACAAGTGTGCTTGCACCAATGCTAGTATTTCGTTTCCTTATTGCATCGTTTTTGTTTTCAGAAGTTTTCATCAGATGACGTCGAAGGCTGCGAACAAAATGACGATGAAGCTGCTGAAAACATCTCGTCGAGAACAGCGCGTACACTTCCGCCTGATCTCTTGGCCGCTCTTCGTCTTCGCTCAGTCTTGGAAGAAACTATAGGGGACGAGGACGACTGAAGAGTGTTATTCTTGTACAAACATANTACAGTGTACAGCATCATGAGCCTGTCGGTGGAGAGAACCAGCTCCCTACCATATGACCCCGAAATACGTTTACAATTACCTTTTTCTCATCTTCTCATTACATGTGCTTCCTGCTTGGTTTCATCGTTATTTGAGCGCAGCAATCTGAATTCGCTGCTGATCTTTGATCGTTTAGAACACTGTTATTCCTCAGTTAAGTACTGCCTTGTATATCGGGTGACTACTGGTTACTAGCCGTTCAAGTCGACTTCAAAATGGCAACGGATCGCCATCTATTCGGACAGGTGCGAATGCGTGGGAAAAGAAATCGTTTCTTGTTGCGAGTCTTGTTGCAGCTCAGAATACCTTCCAAACACCTACATGTCGGCTGTTTAGCCATACTCAAACTAGCGTAAGCAAGCGTGATCTCCCTTGTTCTCAGAATTTCGCGGAAGAGCTACCGGATGTCCCGAATTGCGCATGTTCATTGCGATGTATTTTAGGCTTTTAAACTGAGATTAGGGCGAGAGTGGGTAGTGGCAAGTGGCGCGCTGTCTCACATGTACGGTCACAGGTTGGAATCCTGGATCAATATCCGCTCAGACCAACCAAGCCTTCCATCCCTCCGGGTTCGCTAATTGGTACCAGACTCGTCAGAGGATAAAGCACTGACTTGTACATCGGCTGGCCACCGCAAGTCATTGTATAGGCCACATACGCATTCAATACACCACTACGATTCTGAATTGGAGTCGAATGCATGGGCGCCTCTCTCAGACAGGGTTCTCAGACAGGATTGATTAACGCACTCAGACTTTATCCGTTATTTTTTTAAGCTCAGTTTGACGGGTGGCGGTCAGCAGTTCCGCGGCGATTACCGTACCCTTCCACTGGGAATTTGAATCTTCCCCTTCGTTACGGTTAGTTAGTTGATGGTTAGTTGATGCGGTTTCCGTAGAGATATACCTACATCTGTTCTGTGCCTCTGCATCGAGCGTAATAGGTAATATCTTGAAGTTTTAAACGCTCTCAGACCTTTGAGAAGGACGAAGTTGAGGAGACGTCGATCACAATAAATGTTCCACCATGAAAAGCCTGTTTGACACAGAAGCATTGATCACTCACAGAAAACAAAAGGCCTGGTTTCAAGAAAGGTGTACATGGTGGTTACTTTAAAAGCTCTCATTTTCTGAGAGTCGTATTCACTTGCCAACCCCTAAAGAGAGGGGTTCTGAAAGCACAAGAAATGGGCACACATGAACTATCATTGGACCACTGTTGGTCCTACTTCGAATTGATATTAGTGCTCGTTACCAGGTCATCGTAACAAAAGTGCATGCGAACTCATTGTTCCGTTCTTATCAGAGAGTACAACCGACTGTGTTACATCACTGCGACCATTTGGTTCTCCATTTTTTGAACTTCCACAAAAATTCTCACGGATGTTCAACGAAGCAAATGAAGTCCAGGGTATTCCAAGATCATCATGCGCGTCTATTCACTGCTATGCATTCAGAACATCTAAGCTGTGAATAACAGTGAAATTGAGATAGGTCTGGTGATCAGGATCGTCATACCTTTATGCTGATGAAGTCCGGCAGCTGGCATCGGCCGGTTCTCGGACAAACTTCTGGCTTTCCGGGAACTTTTAGAAATCGATGTCGGACCAATGCTTCAGTTTGCGATCAGTATGTTTTTTGATTGCACGCTTTTCTCAAACTTCACGACGGTACCTGCGAGACCAACGCGTTTTAATCTTGCCCGTAACTCCCGTTGTTAGGGTAGCACCGCTATGGGACAAACTGGGAACGGATATAATCATATTGTGAAACCATCTCTGTTTCACATTCACCTTTCTAATCTTTTCAGGCGAACATAGTGATTCAGTAAGTTCCTGGAGAGCAGTAATATTTCTTTTTGCGCAGCATTAGTCGTATTGTATTAGCACCCTTTAAAAGCACCGTTCACGACAATTTCGGGCAATTCAGATTATGATGAAAAATGTAAGACAAGATCGAAACTAGTGCGACTGAGGCGAAGAAACTGCGTGCATCGGTGTTTCCAAAGTGAAAAAAGGCTTCGAAAAAACGTTAAAAAGGGGGCTATTCGAGAATGAAACCAGAAAAATGAAGAAGAGTGGGGTGTCCGGACGAGCTAAATAGTGTGTTTCACTGCGCGCGTGTGGGTCCTGATGCGAATAACAGACAACGGTAAGGAAAAATTCATTCACTTATAAGCATAAATAAACAAAAAAAACCTTAGTAACAGCAAAGCCTCTAGGGGTAGGTAATTGAATAAGGGATCGCGGCAGCAAAAAGAAAAACAGAGGAAAAAAGAATGGGAGAAAAACATCGCCTCATCACTCGGCAAGCAGCTGATTGTGTGTGGGTCCTAGGACGAATAATGCAATCTGTATTGTCTCGACACTCGTCTAACGTGACACCGATCGACGGGCGGGAACCGAACTACAGCAGCAACGAGGCTTCCACTATGCCCTATGCGCCGAGATTGGGGGAGTGAGAGGGTCCCTTCTACAACCCATGGGGGCCGCGGAGTATCAATAAGGTAAGAACTCAATAACTTTTTTGTCGTGAACGGTGCGTTTAACACTCCCCTCTCCCTGTATTGATGGTTTCCTCCTTTTTCACTTCGTTTATCGCATATTTTTCCTTTGTACTTCAACTACCACGTATACTATACAATAGTATTTGATCTATCTATCTTTTACTCAACTTTTAGTTTGACTATTGCTATTGTAAACCAACTCTTGATCGGTGCCTTAACTTCACAGCTACCTACAGTCATTAAGGCACCCATAGAAGTCCTTGATGCTATTCCGAATCTACCACTATAGATTGCTTCAACAAGAGCTCAATAAATAGAAAAATAAAAACAAAATTCGTTAAATTCGTTAATGAATAACAAACAAAAGTGTTCCATTTTCAGAAGGGTTGCAAAAGCACTGTGGACAGTTTTTTCAAATGGAATTGTGGAATTTTAAATGAGAGCGGGACAAGGAAACTTTTAAGAAAATGGCGAAGCATTATTGAGCAGAAGCACTATTATACTTTGTCTGATACACGGATTTACTCTTCGAAGGAATTTCTCGTGAACTGACCCCGCAATCAATGGAAACTTTCAAATCCAATAGAATCATACGAAACAGGCCTACAAAACCTGTAATTTGTTGGCTATTCGTTGTTCTGGAAAATACCAGAGAGAGCGGGACACTATAGAGAATGACATCAATTAAGATTTTGATTTGGAGTGGTCGAAATGGCTTCCAAAACACCGGAGAACGTTTTCAGAACATGCTGATTTTGTCGCATTTGATGTGACACCCACATGAAAAAAAAAAGGAATTAGAACTAAGAGGTTAACCTTCAGGGTTTTCGACTCCGGTGGATTCAGAATTGAAAGGATGTTTAAGCGCGCACTCAAATATTTTTCGCCTAACAAAAAAATTACGTAATTCTCCTTATTCANAGTTACACTGCCCGAAGTTCTTGATCCATCGGTGAAGGCGCACTTTGTAGCGCGCCTGGCGTGTGGAACCGACCCGGTTTCTAATGGCCTGCCGCCTGTGGCTGGCCGGTAGCTTGCCAGTCCTAGAAGCAACCTGACTCTATACAAGTACTTTTAAAGATGAAGTTCCATGGAAATGGTATGGAGTAATAAGTCTACACAAAATAATAGTGCTACGCTATAGCCTTTGTTCTTGTTTTGAGTGTTCTACAAAAAGCAAGAAAGTTCTCTTGAGGCACAAAAATTGGTCATTGTCTCAGACCGTTGATGTAGTCGCTTGGATAATGGCAAACAGCTTTGTTGTGATAACTGGTACACTTTAGATGGATCAGCCAAAAGACTTCTATGACGAAAAATATTCTTGAACTTGTAGCGAAATCGTTTCGGAGTACAGGTGCTTGTCGAAGGAAAGCGAAGAGATCTTTGTGTCCTCCGCACCACAAGATGTTATCCAAGGATTCTCTCTTACTTTACGTAAGTAGCAGTGTTGAGTTATTTTAATTGAATTAAAAGTAATTTTATTGGATTTTCCTGAAAAGCAACAGTAGGTATACACCTTCCGAATAAGAGATGAATCGTGTAGAAACCCCACTCCAAGGAGAGCCGACTATTCAGTCTGACAGCAGTCGAAGAGGAAGCGATAGAAGATGCATTGGTTGCTACAAGGACCTCCGTCAAGAAAAATGCAGTGCTTTTGTTATGAATCATGTAAAGAAAATTTTGTCAAAATTGAGCAAGGGCCACGAATATTTTTGTTTTGAGCGCTTTCTTAATTATCACGTAGTTGTGTGTGTATGTGATCCATCAGGCAATAAAGTCTAATTTTGCCATTGAACAGTGCAGTTGAACAATTCACATGTTTGTCCCATAGAACAAGATTAAGTTGCTCTGAAAATGACACCCAATTTTGTTCGGTTGTATTTTGCCATACTTTTGGGAATTTCATGGCTCCTCTCTCAAAGAACTTCCGGTATTGATATTCCTTTTCGGTTAAAGGCACAGTGCACGATAGAAATGGTTTCTGATATTCCTCTACAGGATGAACATGAGGCCACGCTATACCATAATTGGCACTATTAGGTCGGAAAATGTAGTTCAGGAGTTATAAAGGCTCAGATATTGGATCGTGTATATCCTCGGACGAGTTTCACCGGCATTGTAAATGCTGTACCGATCACAAGGGAACCCATGTAGGAAGTTCAAGCAACTTGTCATG